AAACGCTCGCGGAGTATAAGTCTTTTCAGAGGGGCGACCGGACTTGGAAAAAAATTGACACGGGTCGGTTCCCGGATTCGGGGGAAAGGCCCATGGGCAATATTGTTCGTCTGGTCGAGACCTTCAATAAAGCTCAATATGTTTTCCCCCGATATCAAGCCGTTTCCGAGAAAACGGAGCCGTAGTAAAAAACTACGGCCCGTTTTCTACGGCCGTAAACTACGGGCCGTAGTGCCGTAGTTACGGGATGCATATGACCAATTGAACCGGTATAATGTCAATCGATACACTTCCCCCACTCTGAGCAGCCGTTTGCTCCTCGGCCCCGGAAATCTTCAGCTGAAGCATGCAAATCCGCAAATCCGCTCCAGTACGACACTTCGAAGAATCATCGAGGGTATTCGGATCGCGCGGCTCTCAGTGATCGGCCTCGCGCTGCACCGCTGCGTCTCGCAGATGCATCATCTCGTCCATTGAAGATTCCCGGCTTTGGGACAGCGGCGCGGCGTGGGCCTTCGGGAAAGTTGCCGGCGACGGGACATTGAAGGAACGTCGTGCACAGCACGAAAATATCATCGGATGCCTATTTTGCTCGGAGATCCAACTGCAAAGTCACGATTGTTTGCGAGCGGACGCTGGAAGGTCGCGCCGTCGGACGTGCCATTGGACAATGAATCCGAACAAAGTAGGATGGATGCGGTTCGATATTCAGAGCAGTTTGCGATCCGAGGACGCGTTCCCGAGGTACCGCCGGCGTGATTCCCTTGGAATTTTCGCGCGCATCGAATCCGTTTGTTGATGGGAGAGGGCGACGGCCTTGTTCGCGACTGGTTACCATATCCGGTCCCTTTTGCCTGTCTCGATTCTTAGCGGAAAGCACGTTTCGCGTCACCACGACTTAAAAGTAAGTTTTTACCCGATCTGACAAGCGGATACACCCTCAAATCGGAGTGTGCCGTCCCGATTGTCCGGTCCAAGTGATGAGAAGCATCGGGAGCTAAGATTTCCGAACGCTTACGTTTTGAACGTGTGCCGACAGCGGACGTGTAAGCCTAGCCACGTGGTTTCGCACTTCTTACGCGAACTGAACTCGTCTGTTGACGTCTAATCCCTTCTAATTGGACGTACATTGACTGTTGTACTGGGAGACATGAAAACCTCCCGAGATACTCGAGTGTCCCACCGAGCTCGGTGGGCGCACGACGTCGCTCATCATGTCCTGACCGCCATCGGACAATTAAAATGCTAGGACGAACTATTTCGCTATTTCAGATGCGTTACGTCGCCGCATACCTCTTGGCTGCCCTCGGAGGCAACGTCAAGCCGTCCGGCGCTGACATCGAGAAGATCCTCTCCTCGGTCGGAATCGAGTCCGACAAGGATAAGCTGAAGAAGGTACGTAAGCCCCTGATAGCACTGTTGTAAAGCACCGCTAACTCTGTGATGCGCTTCGGGTGGGAATTTTGCTCATGTCAAGTACGAGGCACATCTTTGACACCCGGAGAGCTTCTCAGAGCGCGCCGGTTGTACGATGATGCGAAAGCAAGATAGCAGAGCTCACTGTCAATCATCTCCGCCCATCCCGAGCGCGGGGAAGCGAAGTGGGAACTGGTATAAGAATCCGACCCCCTCATTCCGGGCTCGCATGGCTTGCCGCTCCCCGCTGGAGCATTCTACAACATTGGAGGGGATCTTGAATCTTCGTCCAGTGACTCAGAATGCAATATTAACCCCTCGCGTTCTCCCATGTCTGCCTTCCGGAGGCTGTCGTGTCATAAAGCGCGGGTACACGGTTGCTCACTAACATCTAGCACACCGAGACGTCTGCTTGCTGCATCATTTATGCTTTCCATCATGTTTTGATACTGGCGCTTCCCGGAGCGAAATATCCTGACTAGAGTATCGGGCTCGGATCATCAATTCTAACAGAACAAACTTCCTCGCCGTCAGGTTGTTTCCGAGTTGACTGGGAAGGACCTGGAAACTCTTATCAAAGAAGGATCCGAGAAGCTCGCCTCCGTCCCCTCCGGTGGAGGTGCCGGCCCTGCCGCCGCAGCGGCTGCTGCTCCAGCTGCTGGAGAAGCTGCAGCTTCGAAGAAGGAAGAGAAAAAAGAAGAAGAGGAGGAGGAAGACGAAGACATGGGCTTCGGACTCTTCGACTGAGGATATCGTCGATGCGACCATCGGGACGCACAATAAACCACGTCTGGGATTCAGAAATCTCCGCGACGAGCTGTCGAACAGATACTCTCCGTCGCGGGATCTCCGTGAATTTTGGATATGGGAAGGAAGCTCGCCTTTTCTTTTCAATCACAAGCGGACTCGGTGGGATATTTCCTGTTCTGCCATGTTCGGAAACTCCGACTCAGAACGGAAAAACTCCGCCGAGGATCATTTTGTTGCTATTCGCATCTTTCTCGGGGCTATATCGAGATTCGATCTTCTTCGGGACTTCGGAAGAGCACCAAGCATGCCAGAGATCACTCATTCATTCGTGGCCGATTGTGATTCGAGGGAAGAAGATTCGGAGGTCGAGAGGTTTGTTCCTCGGGATAAATTTCACGATACGAGTGAGGGAAAAGAGGGGGGAGGGGGGACATCTCGACGACCGGCGAACGCAAGGCAGGCGAGGCGATAAACATGAAGAGCTCAACGTTTAATAGAGCATCGAGATCAAAGAGGTGACTCGCGGTGGATGATCTCGTGAGGGGGCCAAGAGGAAAGGAGAGAATGGGGACGAAAGACGTCGCACTGGGTTTTGTCCGGATTAATACTGACTTTGAGGGACGGCAGGTCGTAGCAAGGGTGGTGAGACGAGAATCGTGTTTTTGAATGTAATCCTTGCGCTCATTCGCGATAGCAACAGCGCGTGAGTGGTCAGTGATAGATCCACCTGAAATTAGGAGGATTTTCTCATATAAAGAAAAAAGACAAAGCCTCCCATGACTGAGCCTTGCGGCTTGCGGTACCCCATGGGAGATGTGGAGGGCGGACGAGGTGATAATATATTCCATCGGAAGCGTGAGGGATCTGCCAGGCGGATAATGAGCCTGGCAAGGGACTGGTCGATGAGCCCAAGATTTGCGAGGATCTGGAGAAGAATAACAAGGTCCAGGCCCTAGGCCATCAGATACCTCTGCAAGATCAAGGAAGCTGCCCATAAGCACACGCTCAGAGTGACCGCTGTCGGGGAGTAAGCTACGAAATCCAAATAGGGCCAGGCAAGGGACTGGATGAGCCCAAGATTCGCGAGGATCTGGAGGAGGATAACAAGGTCCTGGCCCTGGGCCATCAAAGGCCTTTGCAGCATCAAGGAAGCTGCCCATAAGCACACGTTCAGACTGACCGCTGTCGGGGAGAAAGCTACGAAATCCAAATGGGGCCGAATCGGTGGTCGGAAGCCATCCTGATGAGATGACAGGAAAGAGCGGGATGACACCAGGACATGGAGCTCAATGAGGATCCACTCCTCAAAAAGCTTCGCTAAGAACGTCGGATTCAGAATACAGATAGGGCGGTCATTCTTAGGCTGATACTTGTCACCTTTTCCCTTATACGGTAGACTTAGAGACACCTCATCGAATGAAGCCAGAGAAATCGCCCTACGGATGGACGGGCTCAAAAGAGAAGTTATTGGAATACTTGGTGGCAGATCCAAATCGATGCCTCAGTTTATATGCTAGACTCGTTCCGAATATCGGAGGCATAGCGATGATCACCTTACTGCTTCGCGCTTCGGGCTCCGCGCCGTCGAACTTGGAGGCGAACGGCGCGGATGCCTGCTCGGTAAAGACCTCTCGCTGACGAGCTCTGCGCTCGACGTGTTTTGACGGCGGCACGGCAGCTGAGCGAGTTTAGGGGGAGACCAGCACTCTAAGGCGGCCTTATAGTGAGAACGTCGTGGTCGTGAATAATCGCTCGAAGACATATGACTATGTGAATGTGATAATAGCGAGCAGCTGATGTCGAAGAAGAGCGAGGCGTGCCCTTTCGGAAAGAATACACCCCCCATTTTCCGCTGCATCGATTTGTGACACCGTGACAGCTTCTGATGAGAGAGTTTTTTTTCGCGATATAATTCTCCGTAAATCCGATATCGAGGACATGGTATAGATATCTGATTCGCATTTGAGTGAATACCTGTGCGAACATTCCGCTGCGCGATAGATGTCAGCATGAATCGTGGTAGAACTTTCTACGATGTTTGCTGGAGCCCAAAGGATACTTCGAAGTGAGTAGTCATCAGCATCTGAGGCTCTGTGCATTTATTAGGACTCAATTCGAAAACGCCTGAGTTCTAGAGTTTTATTCAACCGAACAATTCAATTATACGTGCACGCATCTCGTTCGCTGTAAAGTCAAGAATGGTAGCTCCGTCGTTCTATGGGGCAACGAAACGAAGTCCCGACTCACGCACCAGTATCCAGTATGAATGCGAACCCACAAAATGAGTCTGAGCCGTGCCTGGTACCAGAATCGAGATGTACTCATTCCTCATTGGAACCTCATGGAACAGTAAACAATAGAGACTTGCGCTCTCCTGTCCCCATGATAGGAGGGCTTTTGGGATGATTATCCTCAGCCAGAACCTTCGATTCGTAGAAGGCTCGGATGATGCTCGACTGAGAGCTTCTTACTGCCAGTAACTTACTGGCCTCCGGAACTTCCGGGTTTGAGAACGAATACCGTAGGCTACGACGGATGCTTGAAAGAATGTTTCAAATCAGGAGCGCCGCCTTGTTCCTTCAGGTTCTTGACTGCAAACTTCGAAGAAATTCGACTGTATGACGTCATCACGTTATCGCCGGACGGCAAAGTCGTGCCGGGCGCATCGAGGCTGTCGGAGAGCACTGCTGCCAAACTCATATGGAAAACATCGGACATAAAAGGAATCAGATGCATCGATTGGTTCACCAAACCTTCCTACAAAGGTAGCAGTAGTCAGCGGGAAGCTCTCACGTCTCTCTTTCAGATCAAGGACTGACGATCGATCCTTTTTGTGGATTGCTCGATCGTGACTTCGATTCTGAGCGTATATTCCAACAATCTCGATTCCAGGGACCCTGCTGGCTGTGGGCTGCGAGAATGGCGAGGTTGCCCTGTCTGGTTACGGAACGGATGAGCATTCTATTAGAGGACTGACGCTGAATGCGAAGCCGAGCACTCATTTGGTAAGACTTGACTGCGATCCCAAGGAATCCACATCGGCCGTCCAATAAGCTGAATTGCTATCCCACTCTTTTCTTACTTAGGTTCGACCGTGCAATGACGTCCGCTGGTCGACTAAAGATCTGAAGCTCGCCTGCGCTTTCGAGAGATCGAGGGGGGAGGCTTCCGTTCAAGTCTTCGATCTCGAAACGATCCGGAAGGACGACGCGGACAATCTGTGAGTGAGGCGGATATCGCATCTCTTGGTCTCGACGAGCGACCGTCGCACGCGGAAGCTTTCATCCGAATCAGCTAGGATCACAAGACACGATTCGTTTCAGTAAGCCCATGGTGTCATTCGGACACCAAGACGCCGCGCAGTCCGTGTGCTTCACTCCCGAATCTTCGAACTACTCCTCGGCGCTTGTATGTGGGACAACAGCGAGAAAGATCCGCGTTTTCGACATACGAGAACCGTCAACGACAACGGTGTCCGGGAACACGGCCGCTATATACGGCCTGACCTTCGATCCATACAACGCTGATAGATTGGCATCTCATGGAACCGTACGCTTCCGATAACTCATACCGATCGTGGAAATGGAATCCGAGAATCGTATTCCAGGATGGCTCTCATGTAACTCGATTCGATTTCCAGGATCTGATCTGCATTTGGGATCTCCGCAATTTGAACACCCCCATGATTCAGATCCGAGATCAGAGCAATATTTCGAAGCTGCGTTGGTGTCCGAATCGATCGAATCAATTGACAGCCATTCAATATGAATGCAACTCGCTATCCTTGTTCATTGTGCGGGACATGTACCTCAGTCGGGATATGGTGTCGGACGATTATTACGATCATACCGTCATTCGTCACCTCCAGCGTGAGTTAGCTCCCCGCTGCTTTCCGATGATACGCTCAAATTTTTCCACCTTATCAGTCTTTCGCTGCATCTTCCTGCGGATTCGGGGGAAATTTCGCTAAAATGATCTCCGTAGCCCACGATTCTCGCCGGAAATTCCAGCTCGCAGTCAGCTGAATCTCAGGTCGTTCTCGTGGCATCCCGAGGCCGAGAATCGAATGCTGATCTATGACAGCGGGGACGAGATCACGGACTACACAATCATCGATCAGATAACATTGAATTGGTCGCCCGTCTCGGAGATCATATGGACCCACGGAAAGAAAATTGTGCATCGTCTTCACGAAGCGGACGCCCTGTATAAAACTATCGACCCTCTCGCGGCGAGAGTGCGGAAACGAGCCAAGAGTGGCTTCGGTTGCGTGAAAAATGTGAGGAGAGAGGCATCTTCATCCTAGCGAGGGAATCCCGGAGTGGCCTCATTTCGTATTCCTCTCTTTATCATCGGTGGGCGCCTAATATTTTCTTCGCCCCCCCAGGCCACGAACATCTGCCTCGATTCGTCCCTTATCGACGATGACCCGCCGCTGCTGAACTTGCATTGCTGGTTGAAAGAACTCGAATCTTCGGAGAATACTGGGCCTCGCCTGCTAACCGGGGTTTACTATCTCCTCGAGAATATTTCGGAGTCCACCTCACACTCCGGCAAACTCGCTCTCGATAACTCTCCTAATAATGTCAAGTATCTGTCTTACTACGATCATCCAGCACGGCGAAAAGTCATGGCGCTCTTACAAGCTATCGATCACAGAGGCGAAGAAGATTGGGCTCAGAAAGCGGTCGCGGCTCTGTTCCAACTCGACATGCGGAAAGTCATGGAATACCTGGAGATGCCTTCGAAAAACGGTGATTTTCTATCCGAGGCTTCTGCTCGTCTGGATCGATCGTAGAGTGACGATCTGTCGACTGGGGAATCCTTCTCACAGTATTTTATATATATACATGATTTCCATGACTCCCCATGGTCGCGGCTTGACCACATGATATTACGCCTCTAGACCAGGACTTGAACTCCGCCCTCGTGGCCCTTGCGATATCTGGATACAGTGAGCAGAAAGGCTCAACATGGCGCGAAATGTGTGCCACTCTGAAACCTCATATACGCAATCCTTACCTAGCGGCCATCTTCGCCTTCCTAATGTCTACAAGCGATGACTATAATCAGGTGAGCAGGGAGGGCAGAGTTCTGACACATGCATACATCCGGGGACTGGAGAACGGAATTCCTGAAGCAGCCGATATTCCAGGTGCTGAACACATCCATAGCGGTACAAGACAAGATTATGTTCGCCTGTAGATTTCTGAGCGATCTGAAACTACAGCGCTTCATCAAGGAGCAGACTCAGGAGTACGTTCGCGCAGGGAAAATAGAAGGCGAGTAGAAGCGCCCGATCCACGTTCGTCAGACAGAAGGGAGAACCACAATATCGCTCGCGGAAGCAGCGACCAGCGCTCGATCGTCCGAGCTCGTCATTTATCCATCTATCGCCGCAGGTATTCTGTTGACGGGACTGCACACCACTTCGGACAGGATCAACACGCATCTGCTCGATCTGCTACAAAACTTCGTCGACCGTACCGCGGACGTTCAAGCCGCGTCGGCAATCGCAGTGGTGACTCGAAATCCTCAGATCATCGGGCATGAGCTAACTCAACGTTGGATCGAATGTTATCGGGGACTGCTGAATCAGTGGAGGCTGTGGACGGAGAGGTACCCGGGGCTTAATGATCCAATTGTCAAAGTTCCTCCGAGGAAAACTTAGCTACGTGACCGGAGTTCAACTGAGACGCTTGAATTCCCTTCCAGGGCGCTCTTCGATTGCGCGATGGCTCCGCCGATGGGCCGGAGCGTACCACCCCAAATTCGGGTCCATTGTAACTACTGCCGGAAGCCCATCTCCGCTCCTAATGAAACTCGAGGAAGGCAAGCTTTCCGACCGGCGCCGCCAGTGCAAAGGGTGAGAGTGAGCTTCCCGCAAAACTGGCGTTCCGTCGCTTCCGATTGGTGATGTATCTCTTGACATGAGGGAGTACTTCTTCTGCAGATAACCAGCTGTCCCAGCTGTAGGAAGCCTCTGCCCCGATGCGCGATGTGTCTAACGAACATGGGAACGCCGATATCTCGACCGAATCGAGATTTGAAGGAGACTAGAGATGCCGATGCCGTCCTGCATCAGACGGAAACGAGTCAATTCGGACGGTGGTTCACGTGGTGTCAGAGCTGTATGCACGGGGGGCATACTCAGCACATGGCTCATTGGTTTGAGTGAGTACCTAGTTTCCGACAGCCTGTCAATCAATGCGACCCGGTCGGTCGAGTCCGACTTTGAGCTCTAAATCAATACACCTGAACTTCCAGGAAACACGAGAAATGTCCGGTGACCGGATGTCAATGCAAGTGCGCTTCGATCGACGTGTCGGTCAGTCATCATCTCCAGAGCTTCCAGAAGCCAGCTGCTTGAAGGATCGCGACCGAAAGAGGAATCCGCAATCTACTACGGTCACTGGGACGCCGCCGAGATGCCAGAAAACTCGAGGTGCGGCGCTCCCGTGGCGAGGAACTCAACGACCTTCGAGGGGAGGGGGGGGGGGTGGTCGTTCCCACGCGCCTGAATCATACGCTCCTGTGGGAGTTCGATTTCGAGAGCGATTTCGAAGACGCTGGCGGGGCGTGAGATCCTGTCGATAGCTTCCTTCCCTGGGGAGAGCGACGGGCGCAAGTCAGGGAATGCTTCTCGGACGAAGTGCGCTGCGATCTCTCATTTCGACCCCGTGTGGGTACGGGGTAACACACCTTGTAATTTTGTAAATACAGTATTTGCGATACTTACTCTGCATCCGGACCCGATTTCTCTTCGTGAGCGATTTTTTGCAGTCCCAAAATAATCAGAAGACGGCGAACGTCAACAATCGAGGCAACGCCTGAACGAGTTTATTTCCGTTCAACTCAGTACATACATACATCAAACCCTCCTTGCAAGGTGGATATCATCTACCTAATATTTACAAGCCTCGTGTAAACCCTCTCACCCTCTCTCGCGGGTAAACTCTGTTGTGCGCGTTTTAAATTCTACAATGACCACATATGCGCCCAAACCGGTAAGAAACCCAGACAGAGAATTGGGAAATTCGCAGCTCCGTATATATACCAATCTTCTACAGTGAATAGCAAGAGTTTCTTATGAGCATTGAACGCCTGCACCAAATGAATTTTCGGGTCGCTCACGTCCCATCTATCCAGGGCGACTGAATGACAAAAGAGGACGATATAAGTCAAAACGAAAGGGTTAACCAAGATCTGGACGATGCGCTGCAGCAACCTGAGCGGCAGATAGGTATTGACACCGGCGGTCAGGACCGCTGGAACAGTCAACACCGCGACGAGGACCGCGAGCGAGATATTCAGCATCGCCAGAGGACCGATCACGAGCAAATAATGGAGCAGCATCAGCAGTCTCTGAGGTTGAGGGTCAATCGCCCGCTTCGTGCCGATCGGTAAAACGAGGAGGTTCGCCGAGGCGCCGATCATGAAAGCATACAGGGCGTCCCGTGTGCTGAAGGAGAGAACGCTCTTTACCATACTCTCCCCCTGAACGGGCGAAGCGAATACTGCGGCTCCCAGCAGCTGTACGAGCAATACCAGGGGTGAGGCTTTCCACAACAGAGTCATGTACGCCGTGGGTTGTTGATCGTGGAGCTCCAGGAGCAGAGCGATGGATTTCAGCGCGACGGGACTGATGAGAATTCCGAAAGCTCCCATGTAGTAGGCGATCGAGATGTATCTGTCCATGCTCGGTAGATAGTAGTAGAAGAAGGATCGATGGAATCGCTGGAGGAGATTGTTCACCGATCGTACGAGACCCTCTATCACCCGACCGATATTTGTCAGGGTCACGTACGAATACCCCCTCACTTTGGGTTGACCTTGCAGGGTCAGAGCTTGGATTGCGAAACGGTGATAAAGTCCATGGGCTGCTGATGGAGCTCCAGTCGCCTGCTTTGTCATCTGACTGAAGAGATTCATGACGCCCCCTTCCCATTCGAGGCTCCTGTTTTCTGCGGCGACGGGGTCCGCTCGATCTTCGAGGATGTACGGGACTGCTTCTCTTTGCATCAAATTCTTGCACGTGTTCACCAGGTCCAAGTTCGGCAGCTGTCCATTCAGGCCGAAAATTTTAACGTTCACCTAAGAGAGAGAGCGGTGCGTGAGGGAACTTTTTCGTGATTCTCGACGTATCGGGTTGTCGTTCACCACAATGAACGCAATCAGACGTCGAGACTCGGGCATGGATGTACGTACGCCGATCTTCCGACGTTTGTGAAAGGAAGCCGCCGCCCAGCTCACTTACCTGGTCGACGTGCTTGTCTTGCAGTTCCAGGTTGATTGCGGCAAGGATGTTCCCTGAACGAGCATCCAGGCTTCCCGGGAGGAGAACTCCGGGCGATGTTTCCACCATGTGATAGGCATCGAGCCACGCTTGCAGCCCGACAAGTTCGTGTTCAGTAACTACGAATATGATGTCCTTGGACCAGTAGATTTTCTTACGGAACTGCCTTGCCAGTGCAATCATCGTTGCTATTGATGCGAGGTTCGATGCGTGAGGAGATGTTGCTGCGCGAAACGGTGCCGATATCACAATCGCTTCAGTGCGAGATGCTCGGGGAGCCCTCATGATCGCGAACAAATTCTCCCCATGATGCAGCTGTCGACTTCCTATCGGATATGCCAACGTGAAATTGTGACGATAGACTTCCAAGCCCGCCTGTCTGAATTGACCTGCGAGCCAGGCGTACGGTATGCTCGAATGCGACTTCACTTCGGATTCAAGCGTGCCAAGGATAGATTCGGCCTCTTGCGCTATTCTTGTACTCCTTTCTACCATGCCGGGAAGTAGGGAGTTATCAGAAAAGTAGGTCTGATCGTTGACTTCAGGCGACCCCAGGCAGATGAAGGCAGCGATGCCCAGAGGATACAGAAAGCAACATAGAACACTATTGTACTTCAAAACCGCCGAGAGCAGAAAGTGTCTTTGGGCAGACGGTGTCATCGAAGACCCCATGGCGACACTCGTGTCCACCGGCCCCTCACTCCGAATATCCGTGAGGAGGAGGAGGAGGCGACGTCGAAGGGGGGCCGCCGGGTCGTGGGAGGAAGAAGCGGCCCCAACACAACAAAACGACGACGTCAGGAGAGGAATGAGAGAGAAGAGGAGGGGTCCCAATGTGTACAAACAATTCACGTAGATGGATGCATCTCGTTGACTTCGTCGACGGGCGCTCGACGAGACCAGTGAGCTTCATCGGACTCGCGGCGGTGTGTGTGATGTCGCCTCTGTGTTTTGGATCGGCGCCAAGGAGGCTAGAAGAAATGTGGCTAGAAAAAAACCTTGCGTGTTTCTCTCTTGTGGTCGTGTACGCTCTCGTACTGAACTCCAAATAGGCATGGTTCGCTCGGATATGGGGCGAGCCGTCTCGCGAGAAGTCGTCATCTCATGGATCATTCTATCAATCTCTTTCGCACTCGCACTGCGTCAAGTTCGAGTGCATGAATCCGTCCGCGGAAGCGTATCGTGAAAAATCGGGGGAAACATATAGGGAAGTAGCGGCGTACGCAAGAGGGGGGGGGGCGAAGGAGGCGCAATGGTGAGCGAGCCGTGTACAAGGACGCGACTTCCCCGACGCTATCACTTCAGAGGGCCAACGATGCTTTTTGCTGCAACATTCCCCAATCTTAATCGGAAAAAAAGAACGTTCATGAAGGGAGAAGGGAACATCGGAGGCGATACCACGTCGTCGTCACGGACTCTTCGGTCTGTCATCAGGTGGAACCCAATCTGAGTGATAACCTGGCAGAAGAGTACACACCTGCTGTGTATCGCATCCCTGATGAGTTCCATCGCTACCTGATCGGCTAAAAAACTCGACGACTTTCGATCAGGATCACCAATTGTATTTATTGTACTAGCGGACACTGTCCTTGCCGATATCTTGATGGCCGAGCCATTGTTTTGGTGATGACAGAATGCACTGGGCGCTCCTGCAGGCAGCATCCCATGGAATCTGCCTTCATTCCCAAACAGAGCTAAAATCACCGGTACGATTCCTTCGCTCCTAGACGGAGCAACAGATTCGACACGCATACTGAAATGGAGAGAAATCTTCCAAAAAGCTCCGCTCGCGGTGAGGAGGTTGAGATCGATGAGATTCTGGAGAAGACGAGGGTCGCCATCCGCCGGTCTCGAGGCAAACGACTCAAGAACACTCAGCCTGTGAGCAAATGGATGGCACTGGAGGCTCAGAGGGACGACTCGACTCAGTTTCTTCGAGGTACGGGACGTGGGTTCCCCCCACCCCGGTAACCGCTGCCGCCCCCTCGAGCAGGTCCACCGCCGCGACGATGCCCACCAACGTTCGTGTTGTTCTTCCGCATAGCGTTGTCTTGGTAGCGGTTCTGTTGAGCTCCTCCGCGTTCGTGGGATGGCGGCCCACCGTTGGAAGTTCTGCTCTGCTGCTGGAAAGAGTTCATACCAGTCCTCTCGGTTTCCTGCGAATGCGGAGGAACTTTTCGCTCATCGAATCCTTCTTCACCACCCCATCCTGGGACCTTGGCGAGTTCGACATCTTCCACCAACACCTGGGGGCGAATAGATATTTAATACTTCCGACTACTGGGGTATCATTCGACGCGGGTATGGTCTGAGGCAACAATCGATGGGAGAGATCGACTTTCCAGGCAACAAAGAACGAAGGCTTACTTCTTCATAGTTTCCATATTCGACGAATTGAACAACGCAGGTTCCTCCGGTTGCTGCCATTTCGTGAACGACAGCCCGATACATACGATTATCCTCCCAATACTTCGCGAATACTCGCTGGCCTGGCTTGAACTTGTGCGTTATCGTACTGCTCTGGCCCATCTGGGATTGGCCGGGCTTCATGTCTTGACGCGGAGACGGTGCCTTCTCGGAATGCTGTTGGCTGGGTCTGCTTGCTGTGGAGTGATTTTCTGCGGCTTCGCGGGGTTTTTCCGCCCCTACGCCCGCTGAAGACAGCGTGGGGAATTCCGATACGTAGCTATCCTGACGCTGATTACGTCCTGCAATGGTTCAGGTAAAGAATTTTAGGCTGTCCGCTCTTTGTCGAACGTCGTTCCCAGCGAAGAGACAATCGTTCTCCATCTATCAGTATCTGAATGACAAACCAGTGTTGTTGAACCGAGAGTCGCGCTGATTGGGAGCTCTCTCGTTGGCTCGGTAATCCCGTCGATCGTCGTCCCTTCTATCGTCTCGCCTCCGATCATCCCTTCGATCATCCTTCCGCTCGGGTCGTCTGTCGTCTCGTCGCTCGTCCCTCCTTTCATCCCTCCGATCGTCTCTACGGTCGTTTCTTCTGTCATCTCTTCTATCGTCCCTCCTGTCGTCCCTCCTGTCGTCCCTCCTGTCGTCTCTTCTGTCTTCTCTGTCTTCCCTCCTGTCTTCTCTTCTGTCGTCTCTTCTATCGTCTCTTCTGACGTCTCTCCTGTCGTCTCTCCGGTCGTTTCTCCTGTCTTCTTTCCGATCGTCCCTCCGATCGTCCCTTCGATCGTCCCTTCGATCGTCCCTTCGATCGTCCCTTCGATCGTCCCTCCGATCGTCCCTTCGATCGTCCCTTCGATCGTCCCTTCGATCGTCCCTTCGATCGTCCCTCCGATCGTCCCTCCGATCTTCCCTCCGATCTCCTCGACGATCCTCTCCGCGGTCGAATCGCTGTTCCTGCTCACGGAATCCGCCGCGTCCGGTCGTGCCTCTCCGCTCCTGACGGAAGCCGTCCGAGTTCTCCTTCGAGCCCGACCTGAATGGATCAGCATGAGTTGCATCAGAATCGCGATGGATCACGGATAACCGACGTACGTGTAGAACGGGAACCTACCAGTTCTTCTGACGTCCTCCGCTCTCATAAGCATCGTGACCGTTTCCGTGGGCTGGGCGAAACTCCTCTCTGCGATTTGGTTGCTCTGGTATGTTCATCTGTAAGGCGTCGATTCCTCTTTGAAGGACGTTCTTGAACCTCGTGCTCGCGTCGTGGATCTCGAGGCGCATCGTCGCTCCTCGTCCACATAAAGACGTGAATGGCGCGTTCATACCTTAGTGGAGATCATGTCGAAAAGCGTCGTCGGATTCGACGGTTGCATACTGGGGTGATCTGAAGTTCCCCTGGACCCTTCGTCTGGATTCCGGCCACCACGTTTTTTCGGGCCGCCCCTAAAACGGTCCGCATTGTCATCGCCGCGGCCACCTTTTTGCCCGTTCTCCCGATTAGCGTCCCCAGTGCGACCTGACTGACGATCACCGCGATCCCCACGGATGGTGAGAGCCTGGAAATCGAAAGAAATGTCTCCAGACACAGTGGGAGCGAATGGAGTTTCCGAACTCCCGGCTCCATGTAGATGCATGAATTACCTGGAGCGCAGCCGTGACGTTATAGCTGTTGTTTCTCAGTGCGTTCGCTGCCGCTTCTGCGGAGAATCCTTTGGCGCAAATCTGAGCGATGTCGGCATCGTGCATTTCTCGGGCACCGCTTCCAAAAACTTTCTTCTTCGCGGTCGGCTGATTGGCGGTCACTTCCTCAATATTCGACATGCGGTGTCGCTCGAAGGCTTCGTTGGGCGCAACTTTAGTCACTCCAGCCTGAAAACTATCGCGTTCAATATTGCGCATGGGGAGCTTCCGATCCGCGAGGATGTGGACTATGACGGATCCTCCAGCACTCACCCTCTCCATTGCTCTGAAAGGACCTCCGGTCTTCAGTTGACGGATGAGGTCTTTGTTGATCTGTTCCCCGAAAGGTACCCACGGCGGAGGCCCCGCCTCCCCTGAACTCCGTTTGTGCTGCGAGAGATCCTTTGCGAGTTTCCACTTGTCCACGAGTTTTTGAACTGTTCCGCCCAGAACTTTGAAATCCCTGCCGGAGACATCCCAGGCTTCAGAGCTCTGCGGCACTCCCCACAAACGGACGTGAATGGGCTGGCACGGAGCTGTTCTTCAAGAAACTACATGATTCGATGCCTCGAATTTCGGAACAAACCTTTCCGAAAGGATGATAATACCGTTGCAAACCGGCACCGACTGAGGATTCAGCAGTATCTTCGTTCCAGGACAAGTATTCTTAATGCTCACGCTACTTTTGCCCGACAGCACGGCACTGAACTGTGTGACTCCATCAGTCAGGTATATGCGGAGCATTTTATTGTCACGCTCATTGTCTTGATCGGATTTTGGAGCGCTGACGTTACGAATCCGCTGTATCTGATAGACGGCAGGTCCGGACACCTTCTCGGCGTTCTTCAGATTTTTAGCGAGCTCCTCTGGAATCGACCCTGACCCGATTTCGCTGAGATCAGTCTGAAAAAGAGTTTAGCCTGTTTTTAGAACGGAGGGAAGGTCTAGATCTGATCGTACATGATGAATAAGGACGCTGGTTCGGACGGAGAGGCTCAACTGGAGTCGGCCCTGAATTGCGCCCCGTCCGCGGAATATCAGCCTATGCTCTAGCTCTATCCGCTTCCGGCCCAGCGATTCGAGACCGACGGTGAAGTCCAAAGAGAACGGGAGTCTTCATCCGGATATGATACATTGTTCCTAAGCAAGGTCAGGACTCCAAATGGACCGGGTCCTGCTCTGGACCCCCGTCACCGACCACCGATGATTAGATCCATTTCTGATGAGGAATAATCCGAGGATCCACAAACGAAAAAGGACGACCGCGATCCGAAAACTTACATCTAAAGCCCTCTGAATCACATCGATGGCTGAAAGCTTCTCAATCCCCTCACTCAATTCAGCGATCGCTTCGTCAGTGAGAAACCTTCAAAGCAGAGAGAGCACTGAGGTTAGTTCGACGTTCGTTACAGCAGCTAGGAGTTTCGTTCTCGAATCGAATGATGACAGTGGATGCCCTCATTCGAAGTCACCGAATATTGATTATCATCGAGAGACTCCCGAACGCATCCAGAGGAAAACGTCAGTGAGAATGGTGATCGCAACGGAGCTGCTTCACGAAGCGATTCGATGGGAAAAAACAGCGATCGAGCGCTGTATATGGCGCGGTCGAGGTTGAGATGAATGCTTTGTCGGTAATTCTCTACGCTTATGAAAAAAGTGGCGACATGAGCGCCGAAAACGTCGAACGCGAGCCGGAAGGAGCCGCTCTGAGAAAGCAGGGGAGCAATATATTTATGCTTATTCGCCGGCTGCACTCATTCGGTGCGAAATAGCCCGAGAGGGTCGAGGAGAACGATTCTTACCACCCGCGTTGTTCCAACTGATCCTTGAGCGACGATGCCATCCTGTAACTCAATACAGCGACGACCGAGGGGGCCGAGGATACGCACAATTTCGAAACCAGACGCGAAGTACTCACACGGCACGACCAACCGCACGAACAATCGAAGTAGTGACCTCGTCGAGGACGTCAATTCTTTTGAAGTTGGGAGCTCGTCTGTCTAGCGGCGCTGACGATCGTCGTCGTCGGTGTCTTCCCGTCTAAACAGAAAAAAACTCGAACGATCCAACTTGGATCATGGAAGCTTTTCGAGCAGGCGTTTCATATGCTGACATTTAGATACCGTTCTGAAGAACGTGTGCCTCTATCTCGGGCGGCCCGGTGGGAATAGCGAGAGGCAAAATCCTCACAGAGATGGTGTTTTCATGGCTTTGAATGTGTTGAGAGTGATGACAATGATCCCGCAAAAGACTATGTCAACCGGATCGGGCGGCCTATCACTCAGTCAGCGGGTCTAACTCCTGACTCAGGATCCGATAACTGTCGACCACGATCAAGACGCTTGCGGAAGCTCCTTCATCGATATGAATTCATTCGTTGTTGCGATGAGGGACGCTATGAGCTTCGTAAGCCACCAGCCGTCCCAGCGGTCATGCCATAGAGACGACGTCTCCGGACCCCAGAGTGACCGGCAAGTTTCGAGAAACTCGAATAGGCTAGCATTGGAGAGTTACTGGGAAACAAAGACGCATTTTCTGACCGGCATCCTTCGAGATGCAGGTCGGACAGTCGCTGCTCCCCAGTGAAATTCAGCGGCTTCTCCCAAAACACTCGAAGTCACTGCTTCGGAAAGAAGTTTCGCCTCAACGCACTCCAGAACCTCGCGACCTGCACACACATCGTATCGGTTATTCGTTCGTAGCCTCCAACGAGCATCGTGAGAAGCCTGATCAATGGGATCGAAAACTCGAAATGCGGCTCACCAAGACAGGACGCTTTCGAGCCCACTGACCCAGATATGAATCGTCCTGAATACCATTTCTGTCGGGATGGTTCTCGTTGAGGGAATGGCCGACTCCCTGAATCGTACCAGCAGCTGTAGCTAGGTGGTGGAAATTTTCAGAGGCGATCGTGGGAGTCGCCGATACCGCGAATCTGGGGTTTCCCACGGCGAAGAGAGCATCTCATGCTCACTCGATCTCGTTTTCGACTGCGCAACTTCGGTGATTCGGTTTCCTGCGACCAGATAGTCGGCATGAAGAGCTGATCTCGTCTACGCTGGCGTTCATCCTCCCGCAACCTCTGGTGCCGCGCTGCACCTCGCTGGCGATTTTCAGCCGTATTCCGCAAGCGACGGCAGCGCGGGCTGCCGTCACGGCAAACAAAGTTCTCCAACGCGCTCCGTGGCGCAGGTTCGCCCGCCGCGACGGAGGAACTCTAAGCTCGTCAGGGCCAATGATAATGCCACATGGATTTTTGATATAACTGTGCCCTGGCGTTCATGAATTCGCGTCACTTCAGTTTCACAACTCAGGGAGTTTTTTCTCATTGATTCCGCTACAACGGTGAACGTGTATCTCTCTGCTTCTGAGCGATTGTCTTTGCTGAGCCGGAGTTTCTTTCAGGGCCGGGGCCCAACTTATCTTTGTGATAGAAACTTTACTGAGCTCTCCCTCTGAGAGGCTCGCTCCGCGTGATCTCCATGACGATGACTCACCACATAGTTCACTCTTTCTATGAAGGGATAGATAAATAGGGAAAGATCCACAGATTGATCGATCCGATCCTTCCAGATCCGGCGGTGGAGCCCTCCCTGCGCGAGGCGGCAAACGACATTCGGCGGAGTGGATCTGTTTCTGATCCCAGCTGAGGAAGATGCGGAGTCAAAACTCCCATGACGACATGCGAGCTTCGAGAGAAGGCTGACAGCCTCGAGCAGTCCTTCTTCGTCCCAAGACGATCGTTTGCGATCCTGTGCGCAATCTCCCTCCTCGTCCAACCTCGCCGCCGGCGGTCGTAGGTAGAGAGAGGGCTCGTGGTGAGTGGTGAGGCTGCACGAGCGACCAATTGATGATGAAGTGATCAAGGCATTCGATCCCTCTAAAATAAAAGCAGAACGCAAGAAATTCGCTCGTCGCGGGTCTCCGGTATATGTCTATGGAGTTTCGACTCGGAAACTCTCATTCTCTAGCCCCATACGCCTCGAGAGGTTGCTGCTACAAGTAACTCAGGCGGGGCAGAGAGCAGAAAGAAACTTGATCCGCCGATCTCCCCTTTCGGAGTACTGCCGAGTCCTCCCGAACGCCTTCAAACTGCGGCGGCGACCGTCGACCAACACTCACCAAATCGCCAGCCGTCCGATTTTTCGTGAATTCGTTCCACTCAATATTCTGCGGATTGGAAATCGACGGACTCCTCCGGAACTCGACAGACTGGTCCTAACTACGCAGAGATCGCGTATCCGTAAGTGTTGGAGCATTATTCCTGGTGACTTCTGGGAATCACTCACATTCTTGCATCTAGAGGCATTGTATGTCTCGACTGGGGCCCTGCGCCTCACAAGCACCCATAAATTGTAGAAGGTCCCCATCATAGGCGGAACTCATCACAGGATCCTTTGAGTAATGCGTAGAATTCAGCTGCTCGGCAACACTGCCGGGGTGATCTAATAGCCTTGAAAACGCGACCCCCCTCTGTTCAGAAGACTCGATGAGAATCCTGGGTCTTTTGCTAATTCCCTTTATCTTATTCAGGAACAATTCTTCGGCATAAGACTCCATTGAGGTTCCAGGGTGCTGCCTTGGACGCTGACAGCCGACATGGCGAAGACGAAACCGATGAACAAAAAGTGCCCCCAGTGCGAAACAGAGGTGAGCAAGAATTTCATTGTAGCTTTAACTCTCTCAGTTCGACCCCGTGAGCGGAAGAACCTCACTAGCCTCCGCGGAAACTGCATTCATGGATATCGATGATTATTATCGAGGTATTCGTGGTTCCCATGACGAGTCTTTGTGGGCCACGAATACTTGCATCTTAACGCAGCCGAAAGTCGCAGCTTTCATGAAGCGACTCTGCACCTGCTTCGTCGCCTTTAGATCGTCATCGTAACGGTGCCTTTACTGATTCAGGTAGCGACCGCAACCAAGCTCTGCGGCTGTGGCTACAATTTCTTCGATAAAAGGAAGTCGAATCGACCTTCAGTGTCCTCGGAAGACGCGAACTCCAATAATCCAACGAATGAGCACTCAGGTCACGAAGGTAGACGACGAGGGGTGAGAGTCCGGAAAGAAACACAAACCTACGGGACGACTGTCCCCAGTGCATCTCTAGATGCAAAGATTCGCTCGCCGAAAGGTCAGTACAGGAAGGTTACGCAGAGTTCCTCCGAATCAGCGCCTCGAGAGCCAGCGGAGCTCGGGATCCTCGAAGAAGTCGTTTCAGTCTCACATCAGCAGTTCTTGTTTCAATTCTCAGCGGTAGTCAATACTGCCAAGAAACGCCGGACCAAAGACTCCCCCGTTGTGAACGACGAGGACACGAATTCGGAAGAGGGTGCCAAGCGGAAACGAGGTTCGTATATGAGCTCAATAGCCACACGCTTCTGGACAGTACCCAGCGAATTCTACTTCGGAAAGCTCCTGGCCAGATAATATTTTCGGCCTTGACCTAAATTCCATGGGGGAATTCGAGACTCCTTATGTGACGATTCCAGGTCGGAAAAATCGTGAGGAACGTTTTTTGGAGCAGGAAGAGAAGCTGATGTCGAAAATTTCGACGAAAAGAGCTTCGAGGTGAGTCGTTCAGCTCATGCGTAATGTTTGTCGACAATCGCAACTATTGCCGGATCCCATCCGCTCTGGCAGCTTAGATCCCGAATCGCGTCCCTCATCTCTGGTGGGCTCGCACGAATGAGGTGGAGGGAAGATTTTTCCAGTGCTTAAACTCGTGGGGGGCCTTGAACTCCTAGTTTTTAAGATAGAGCTCGGACAAACCCACTAAGTGAGTTAAATCTTCGCAGGTACGCCCTAATTCTGAATAATATCAATCGCACAATGCGGCAACAAAACTTCCACTTGGAGCAAACCCCGTCTTCCAAAGACACCCCTGCTGATGACGGGGACGAAGAGACCTGAAGTCTACCGCTTCAGATCAGCTCGGGAGTCTGCCTTAGATGAGCTCATTCGTTGCCTACCCAAGGCCCTAGAATACTGCGGGTCGGAATCTCATCCGGACAGCCTTGCCTCCCGCAAAGCTCCAATGTAAAATCACATCTCATGAGTGCATGTTCTCGAATCTGTACAGAGCGTGAAAGAACTTTTTGACTGATAGGTACGTCTTCCGCATATTCGATTCCACAATCCACATGTACATGAGCAGCATCATCGAAGCCCGGAGCGGACTCGGGAGCGATCGTCAAGTCCCGCGACCTGAAATCTGCAGGGTTTCTGAGTCCCATGGTCATCGTGCACTTTCCAAGCCCATTCAACGATACCCCACAGTTGGGTCCCGTTCGGCTCGCATAGCAAACGTTCGCTATGCCGAGAAATTCGAGAACCTGCGTCTTCCAGAATCTACAACGAGCCAATGTCCGCTCATCGATGGGCTCGAACGATAGCTGCGTCTTTCATTTGAAGAACACTCGCTCAGACGAGTGGCCTGCAGATATCCCAAGATGGTTCAAGGGAACGTCGGAGAGAGGGAAGCGGAAAGCGAATTACGATCCTCGTCTCAGGCTCGAATCCTCGATAGACTCCTGCGGGGAGTGGCGGATGCAAGAAAAAATCGAGAGGACTGAACGAATATTCGATCGAGTCCATGGAAGACACACTCACCCCACACTCCGGAGTGGACCCCGCGTTTTAGACCTCCATCACGAAATCGCCAGATCATCGCTGATCTCCTGGAGTCTGCTGAGAGATTGAGAAAAATTCGATTCCGTTTATGTTTATATTTTCGGAGCAAACTCGGAGACGCGCTCATCTTTTGCCCGAGGCGCCGAGTTTCTCGGTTCTCCCCTCTCATAGGGTCATTCACGGTTGCGTCTCGCTTTCGTGGCAATATCCAGATATCGAATTGTACCTTGTAATGTGGACATACGTCGACTGGCGAAGAAATAAACTCATGAGCCGCTCGTTGGTTTGAACGTTACGCAGCTGTCATGCGAGCGCCATCCATGATCAAACATATTAGATCAGTAAAGTTTCCCAATATAGGACTCGTGTGACTTTGAGTCTAAGTCGTATCTCCGGGTAGATCTTCATTTCTAACATATCACGCCTATAACACCAGAAATCGTCGGAACGAGGTTGATATCGGGAGTTGCGGAGGTATTCCAGCCAATCAGCATGCTCATTCAGGCCAGAAGGTATCCGGAATGACCCTACTTTGCGTTAGGAAGAATGCGCTTTGACCGTGGGGATAATCATGTTGGGAGACTAGAGTTCCTATTGGGGCGTACATCTTCCCGGAGGAGACCGAACATTTTCCGGCTGGACATCGAAGCATAGAGACGGTCGCCTGTCTTCCGCAGATCAGTTGCTCTAACTGAGCGTCAGCGCTGGGGAATTTCTCCGGGGGAACCTTCATCGGGAAGAATTACGAACCATATCCATCGGCTCCTTTGACTCTCCCCTTGATTCCCGAAGCTGGAGCACAGATCGAACCATTTCAATGAAAAGTCGTGGGACCAAAGTATGGAAAAACTCGGATATACGTATACATATAAACACCTCGGAGGCTGCGCCCAGAATGATCCGTGAACCTAGGAAGCTTCACGGGTCCAGAGCTCCTGCCCGTGCATCGAAGATGTGTTCGGCATTGAGTAGAGGAGATCGAGACCCGTTAAGCAGACGAATATGGAACTCTAGTCTGGTAGACTGCCCTTGGGAATACAGGACATAATTCCGAAAGGACCTGTGACGAGACCGTTTGAACCTTGCAAGTTTCAGTAGAACCTTGATGACGTTCGGACAAGCGGGCAAGAAGACGGAAACGGATATTTTCGCTCAGAAGGGGACTCCGTTGATAACCAATTCGACTGAAGTTTCCTAATCCCATTGGATCTGATTGGGAGGAGCCGACGCTGACCGTGGCCTAGGAAAGAGTATTCCGCCGTCAATGAGAGACTCGATCCCGGAAATCTGGCTCTTCACAGTCGGGGAGCGATTATGCCGTCCACTCAGTGTACGCGGACTCCCCGCGCTCATTGATCACTGACAGGCTGTGATGCAGGACTCTGGACAATCTCTGGGAACCAACGCCGAGCAGTTTCATGGCGAACAAGACTCGATTGTAGTGCCCGTCAGCATCCCAAATGTGGAACCCAGAGTCGTAAGCTCTCTGTTGAGACGGTTTCTGCACTCCACAAGCTAAGTGAGAGAACAACCCTGAGAAGCCAGAGGAACTTGAGGAAGACATGAATGAAACATTCATCTGTGTTGTTCCGACGCTAGGTTCTGGGTCTGGGCATCGTCTCAGACTCACCCGAGACCTTCGACGGTAAACCTGCTCGGTAGAGGAAGAATGATGCTCGGGGAGACCATGAAGGAAAGGGGTCAGCGATCAAATGTGCTAAGGACACGGACCGAAGGGAAAACCAACTTGAATCGGCTACTGTTGGTGCAGCTTTATTACTTCATAATGATTATTGATTGAGAAGAATTCTAGGGACTGGGGGCCGCCTTCTTGGAACGAGCTCTTGGAGTCCATCGGAGCTCCAGAAATCGCCTCCTGTATATTTGGTCGGGCGCACCGCTTATGACCGAAGGCCTCCAGAAAAAGTTTCGCCTACCGCGGACTCAGGCCTTAACGAACCTTTGTGATGCCTGGCTCGACGAAATTTCCGACCTCGACCTGGACTTGTCCGACTCGTTGGCGATGAGGAAAGAGTGGTAGAAGGGGCCCAACTGCTCCCCGAAACGGAGACTTGTCAGAAGAGGCGCCGAGCACGGATCTCACCCTTCCGTCTGCCGCTCTAGCGGAAATCACGCCGTTGGCGAGTCCTGCGTCTGTTCTCGGTGCGAGAAGATGTGTACACAGTATCAACTTTTTCATTGCTCCCGCGCTGAAAGATTTGACTGGGCGAGAGCCGAATCGTGATTTTATGTGGTATCGGAATGAGATACAGGTATCGAAAAGAATCGGTATCCGGTGCGTATTCACCGAATAATCATGAATAATCAAGAGATGATTTCCACAGGTGTGAAACTGTCGGTTCAGCCATGTATTGCGGGGACAAGGAGACTCCTCCGAAACCGGAAGGAACATCGATGCCCACCCTATGAAGGGGACGGGCAAGCGACCGTCCGGAGCACGGAATTAGAAAATGGATTTTTACGGAAACGGGGGTTTCTCTTGAGAGCTCAACTCAATGGTCAAGTCGCCTCAACGTCGCAGTCTTCTCTGGGTCCCCGAATCGACCGTCGAATTTCTCGTGGAGGACGTGGACTCCGATTCGACTCTTGGCAGACTCCAAGTTCTGGGAACGGGGAGGCCGGCGCGGCGTGTGCGCGGAGAGTAGATCCTGTGGAGATGCGAATATGAGAATTCTGGGGACGGCCGAGGCGGCCGCAGGTCATTGATGAGTCGTTCTCGGTTCCCTGAGCAGTTGACGAGCTCTGCCCCGACGATCCGAATGGGGGCTTTTCCTTGTGACATGACTATATTTCTCGAAGCTCACGGAATCATCTGGGAGTCATCGTCTCAAATGAATCCCGACAGCAAGCGAGGATTGGCCCAGCTTGTCATCCGGCGAAGATCGATTCTAGCGTGGACGAGAAATGGGGGAAGAACGTGAAGAATCCTGTATGGCTGGCAATTATTCGACTTTTCCCATCACGTTGCGAGTACGAAGCCAATTGACGGAAGCGTCGGATTCACTGACCATGCACTCTCCACTATGAGTGGAAGCTCATCGACTCACGAACGGAAACTCTTCTAGGAAAGAATTCGATCTCCGAAAAACATCGTACCGTACGGAACCCTGATCCCACGGCTCTCTCGAACCGGTGTAATGCTCTCGTGAGCCGTGATTCCGAAAAAAGGAAGGCGAATGACGATTCCATGGCGGGGCTGCCTGATTTCGCTTTCCGTCGCGACCCAGTGTCTCAATGGGGGCGATTACGGCGATGGAAGAGCGTGGGACAGAATGAATTGATCGAGCTGACTGAATCTATTCAAGCGGAAGGATCCGACCGGCGCCCCCCGACCAAATCGACTTCTCCAAATCATCCAGAGGTTCCCATCGGAAGCGCAAGACTCCTCGAGACAGACATCGAACAAGTCCAGCCTATCGACACGGTGAAGAAGCTCACACTGTTTTGGAGGGTTTCCTCCGCGAGCATCGGTGCCTCGATCGAGCGATCTCGTGGCCGTGGAGATCTCGAAACACATGCGAGAGCGGAAGCCTTCCCGGAAATTTCGGTGCTGCTCCGTTCGCATGGGAGATTTGGTGAGATTCAGCGAGATCCTAGTCGGGGTGCAGCGTGGAGCGCGGTGGGCGATTCGAGACGACACTGTCATCCTCGCAGAGACCATAAGATCTATGGGCATAATTTGCGTGTGTAGATAGAGAGACCTGCCGTCGAGGTGCGCAGCCTTCTATATGACGGCTGAACGATGTCTGCTTCACGAATGTCTTCGACGAGGAATGCATCCGTCAAGTTCTGTAGCCGCCGACAGCAGCCCGTAGAGCGCCGGTCGAAAGCGCCACACATCAATCGCCTCCGTGGCCGAGCTCCAATTGACCGGTGGGACACCTGAGAAAATCCTTGGTTGAATTCCTCGCCGGCAAAGTCTGAACTGCAGCTGCGTAGTAGACAGGGGCTTTTTTCGTCGTTGAATTTTAATGAATGAGTTTCCTCCGACTTACTACCCGTCTGCCTCCCCGTAGAAGACGGCTCACTGAAAATAGACGAATGGAGAGACACAATAGCGTCTGGGTATTTCCTAGTAGAATGGAAGGCTTACACACACTCTCCCTCTACAAATATCCGTCGTTGTTGGCGCGCACCTCAGTGAGTCAAGACTCCACAGTAAACATAGCGGACGCATGAAGAACCCAAACATACCACGGATACCTCTCTGTCTGAGTTAACAAGACAACCCGAAAGAGCCGGTCGATCGCTCGACCCGACTACACGCGATTGGTGAGACTAGTCGCTTCGAGAGGATGGGCCGCGGCGGACGACGCTCATGAATGGCCGAAGAAGAAACGAGACGCGATTCAGCGCTTCCGAGGACGCGAATCTTTACTGCGTCGGCTCGAGTCCACCCTCGTCGTTGAGGAATGGTGATTATTTTCATTGAGCCGATCCACCTGTATCAACCTCTGCTCGCAGCTCATCTGTAATCTGCCTGCCGATAGGAAATTGTCTGTAGGGGCTCTTCCTCGATCTGCATGCTTCCTGCGGGCGTTGTTGGTGGCAAGGCCATCGGCAAGTACCCATCGGTACACTCGACGCTTTTCTGACCCCAGAAGGGAAAGAATATTCCTCAGAGGACGAATCCGCATCTCCAGCGTGCCTCGGGGATGAACAAGGTTACATCGATGTGTTCTCCGTAGAACTCACTGTAATTCCATAGGCCGATCAGCAAGTGCTACCGCGGTCGAGAAGATACGACCGCGCTTTCTCGTACTCGCTCATTCGGCGAGCCGCTCCAATTGTGGTTGTTGAATTGACGTTCGTAAGGAACTTGTAAAGAATTCGGTAGAAGCCCTCGAAAGAAGAGAGAATGCTAACCAGCGGTCATTCTTCACGGAAGCCGTTGGACATCTCGCCTATTCGGTGAGTAGCTTCTCGATGGGTTCCTGGACCTGACACGTTCATTCTTATCGGAAGCAGACGGGATCCCAGACTGACTGCCTGTTCGGGCTTCTTTCAAACCATCTGAGTAGCCTTGGCTCATTTGAGAGGGCAACCGGAGTGAGCTACGGAAAATATCGAGATTTTCTTTCGACGAGTTCTCGGAGCGAAGTCTTGCCGTGGCCGTGGATTCGCGCTTCCATGCATTGGTCGCGTGGCTTCACACGTTTTCTCCTATGAATGTACTCGCATTTTTGCTGCCCACGCTGCACGAGAAGTCTTCGCTAAGCACCTCGGAGCACTTCTTACGGAGTGTTCCTGACTTCTGTGCTCGACGACGGCCGG